AGTGAGTGTGAGCTTTATTGTGTTCTCACTTGTTAATTGAGAACAAATCATTGTATTTAACCTTTAGTTGTAAGAATCACTTGTAATACACTTGTACACCGAGAGAAGTGTGAGGAGAGAGAGACGGGGTCAAATCCAATAGGAGTGGCGTCGATTGACGAACCTAGGGAAAGGTTGTAATCGAGCACTTGAGGAGGAGGACACGGGCTAGATTCCTACACTTAGTGTGTAAAGTGTGATTGTCAAGTGATTGTGTAGTGTGAGAGTTTTCGGTGAACTTGTAAACCGAGTGTGTAGAAGTTCCGGCTTCCAAACCGGATTATGATAGTGGATATCTCCTCGAGGTGAGGAGCGGGGACGTAGGTCGTGGGGACCGAACCTCGTAAACATATCGTGTGTTTGTGTTTTGCTTGTCTTATATTTTATTTGTGCATATTCTTATTGTTCATATCTATCTCTTGCAAGAACATATTGATCTATTAATTTTAATTAGCTTTTAAATTAGAATTAGATTAGCATAAGACCCTAATCACCCCCCTCTAGGGTCTAACAATGCGTAATCAGGTTTATCATTCTTAAAAAGCTTCCTTTTAAATTAGTAGAATATGATGAATTTGAAGATATGTTTATTTAAAAAAAATTCTCGTTAAACCTGTCAACGTGATATTTTAAAATATTATCATGAGGAACAAGGAAAAATAATTTCTTATTTTAAAAATTTAAACTGTAAATTTTCTTTAACTTCTGATATTTGGACATCTAGAGCACAAACTGGATATTTATGTATCACAGCACACTGAATTGATAAAAATTGGCAAATGTTTAAAAGAGTTGTTTCTTTTATTACAATAGAAGAGTCACATGCTGGTATTAATGTTGCAAATTTAATAATTGAAGAACTTATGAAATTAGAAATTACAGAAAGAATATTTTCTCTTTCACTAGATAATGCAAGTAATAACAATGTAGCTGTTGATTTTATCAGATCAACTTTGTCATTGCCATGTCATAGTGATCTTTTTCATATTAGGTATATCTGTCATATTTTAAATTTAATTGTTCAAAGTGCATTTACTGAAATTAAACTCATGATAGAAAAGGTTAGAACAGTTGCTTATATGCATAATGCTACTGAACAAAGACTTAAAAGATAGAAACAATTTTGTAAAAGAAAAAATGTAAAGCCCAGAATAATTCCAAAAGATGTTGACCATAAGTGGAATTCCACCTATGCAATGTTAAGTGTAGCAATAGAATATAAAGACATTATAGCTGATTTTATAAATTATTATGCTTCTAGTTCTAGTTCTGGTAGCACTTATGGAATAACTGAAGATGAATGGACAATTATATGTAATTTAAATAAAATATTATAAGTTTTTATGATGCTACAATGTTATTATCTGGCTGTTATTATCCAACCATTACTTTAGTTGCTTTACAAATTTTAAATATTCAAAAAAAAAATTGGGAAATATCGTATGGATGATACTTTTGGATCTATGATTTTTCAAATGGAGAGCAAATTTAATAAGTACTTTAGGCCTATTCATCATATTTTTGGTTTGGGGGTTCTTATTGATCCATGCTTGAACGATATTGGCCTTCGAAGTTTGTTACAACCCTTGTATGGTAATTAGATTATAGACTTAAATGATGGAACCACCCTTACTGCTACTACTCATCATTTAGCTATTAGAAATTATTTTCAAACCTTATATGATGAGTATGTAGCTAGACATGGTGTAGCTACACAACAGTCTACAGCTTCGGTTTCTTCGAGCTCATCCCGAGGTAAAAGTGTAAGTTTTGATAGGTATGCAATGGTAGCTGAGCTAACTGGTGGATCTGGACTTGGATCGTCATCATTAGAGGTTTCTGAAATAGATGAATATTTATCTGCTTCTTTAGTTAAATGTCAAGGAAATACTTTAGATATTTTGCAATGGTGGAAAGTATATGGATCGGTTTCATATCCTATACTTTCCACCATGGTTCGTGACTTACTAACAGTACAAGTTTCGACGGTAGCTTTGGAATCCGCCTTCAGCACAGCAGGACGTTTTATCGACGACAACATGACATGTTTAGATCTGTATACTGTACAAGCGGTGATGTGCTTACAAGATTGGTGGAGGTACGAGAAGCGAACGCAATGCATCGATCGGATGGCTGGAATTGAATATAAATTTGAAGAATTGAGACTAGCAGATAGATATAAAGAATAAATAATATTCATTAAATTGTATTTTTTATATCTTAGGCTCTTAGCTTAAAATTTGTAAAGAATTATTTTGGAAATAGTTACAAATGATAGTGATATAGGTAAGTATGTGCCAACCTAGTTGGGATGTACTTACCTATTGTGATGCGATGAATTCTAAAATAAATCTATACTTGTAATTTATAAATGATTTATTAATTATTAATAAAGATTTATTTTTATAATTTTTTATTTGTAATTTATGTCATTTTAAGTGATTAATCAAATTATTATTTTTTATTAATTTTTTTGTTTTTTTGTATAATTTAAATTTTAAATAGAATTAAAAAAAGAACAAAAATAAACCAGGCCGGCCCGGAACCTGTGCCGGTCGGGCCCGGGCCAGGACCCGGCCCGGGGTACCTAGATCTGGGTCCGGGCTCCGGTTTTGCCCGGCCCGGATGGACAGGGTCACGTAAGTATCACAACAGGAAATCCAGCATCTAGTTGATTTATTTAGTGTCATTTTTTATATCCAAATGGTACCCATTTTGTAGGAAGAAGATTAGTTTGTCTTTAATTTATAAACGTTATGCCAGCTATGCTTATGTGTGGAGATTGCACTTCAATATGCAACCAATTCTGGTCCAAATTTGCCATATGGATATTACAGTTTTCTGGTCCAAGTTTGCACTATCAAAATAATCACTTTGCTATTCGCTGAACTTTATGTGGGATTTTTAAAGAACTAGTTAATAAGCAGTTATTATTTATATGTAAAACTTACGCATATGAGGATTAAGTGTAAAAGTGATCAAACTACTTACTCCAGCAACTTCAGGCCACGAAAATTTGCTTATCACATATTTATTTATTTATTTTCACACGATCGTTTTCATAATTCTCCACGGAAGGACTCTGAAAAATGCTCTCAATGATTCTTCCATATATCCAGGATTTATAAGCAAACATTGTAGCATTTCATGCTAAATCCTGGAAATTAATTTCCAAAAAAATAAAATAAAAAACAATTAGAATATGCAGCATTGGTATGCAATATATTTAAAAGAAAACAGAGAACCACACACCTTTTATGCCAAAATAACACATTAAACTTTAATCCCAAAGGTTCACAGTGATTTAAACCCGCAGATGGTAGCATATAAAAATGACAAACACCTGCATAAGAATGAAGAGTCAATATTTAGCCGATAAATGGTTTTATCTGAAATGACCAACTTTGCAATGACTATTGAAAGAGATGAGTACCTGAAAATAATATGCAACTGAAAACATGAAACACCAAGTTGAAGAACAATAATTAGGTGCACATAGACGCCAAGTGTTAAATGACAGTTTTGCACTTCCTACCCTGTACTTTTATCCTCCTGTGGACATAGATGATAGACCCCCTACGTAAAAAAATTTTTTTGACTCTTTTATTCTCTTGTGGACTCACTAATTTCACAATTGTTTGTTGGAAACATAACATACAACGCAGCGGAAATTACACATCATGTAGATTAATCAAAATTAATTTAAATCTAGAAAAATACCTGAAACATTTTCCGAATTTCTTCGATAATCTGTCCCAAGATCAATACAAAATAGCTTCTTCAAGAGAAAAAACCTCCAACTGAAATCTACCCGTCACCGAAGAAGAGCAATACTGAGAGATAGGTTCTCAAATTCTATTTCCTTTTTCTTTTTCTTTCTTTTCTCATATCTACATAATGCTACATATGAGTTCTATATATAGGAATGGACTTGCCTTATAGATTTCAATTTTAAAACAATTCTTAATTGTTTAAAACTCTATCCATAACATTTAAAGATAGAATATTATTTTCATAACAATTAGGATAGAAATAGAATTGTATTGCATATAAATCTCTTCTAATGACATTAGTGAGACCAATTGGGCCCCAAGAACTAATTATTAATCAAATTAATAATTTTAATTTAACAATCAAATTCCTATCCAACCAACTGTTCATAAAAGCTTTTTTATAATATAGAATTAAATATTCGTGAATAATATTATCTTACATTCAGTCCCTTCTAGTATCAATTTATTTTAGGCAACTTTATTGAGCAGGACAAATCACTTATTTGCTCATTCCTAAAATTACAATCCCATGAACATAAATAAAAATCTTTTTGAAACATCAAAACATTTTATTTTACAAGAAAATAAATTTAGAAAAATAATTTTTAAAAAATCGCCCGTCGACTGGAATTTAATATCTTCATGGAATATGCATTATAAATTAACTCATAAAAATGAGTATACTGGATTCTATCTAGATATCCATCATTTCCCTAAATGAAATCTAATAACTCAACATTTCAAGTTGTATAGCACTTGTAAAACAAGTTTAACCATCATATTAAAGTACACTAAATTATCAAATCGAAAACGATAATATCATCAAGTCTAATGAACCATGTAACAATTCAAATTCTCTATCTCTTAGGTGACTCGTCCTAGAGAATCCAAATAAGATCTTGTGCTACACATATCAAATATGCGTTTATGACATACACCCGGGGAATCTTCATTCCCGATGGCTGAGACCAACCATCACATCTCATATGTCGTTGTCATGCATAATAACCTGTTATAACAAAGCTATTCTTTACTAGTTATAGGTTAAGCAAAAATTTTAAAAACCTCAGAATTAGATCATATCTCCAAGCAAGTAATCATCACAGTGCATGATCTAACAAAACAAGTTCTAAGGATAATATAACAATTATATAAAAGATATCCAAACAACATGTGCAACAATAAAACTTAATTAATATTCAATAAAAATATATTGAATGTTTAAGGGCATATAACACTACTCTAGCAACAATATCCGCCAAAATTACATCAACCGCAAAAAAAACTGGGAAAAAGATATATCTGCAATAATGAAACTACAGAAGTGCAAAACAATTAAAGATGGAGGGAAGAGATTGGCAGGAGAAATTTGATTATCCGTGCAAAAGTAGTCCAAATCATACATATGTCATTACCACCCCCCACATTGATCCCTGTTCTATAATACATCGTTTGCACTCGAGAACCATGAGGTAACAACGTTCCAATGATCATAAAATTAGGCTTCTGATAGATGAGAGCATGTGTGAGAAGGAATCCAAACTCCCTTTGAGAATATCAGGAAACCATACTGTTAGGCTTCTGATAGATAAGAGCATGTGTGAGAAGGAATCCAAACTCCCTTTGAGAATATCAGGAAACGATACTAGCCTTTTTATCCTCCAAAGCTTTAAGTTCCTCAAGCCATCCTTCAACTTTAGTTATCTTTTCTACCTGTTCTGGCTTCATATTATTTTGGTCAACTTTTAGCTGAGCCTCTGCAAGACGAATCTGCAGCACAATCTGGATTTGGTTAAATTATGACCCATGATGTGTAATGTAGAAGAATGCATAGTGTAAAAGAAGATGGGGAAGGGGGAAACCAAATTATATGCAAACTAAATTTAAAAACAATAGGCTATTTAAAACCCATGCTTGACTCCAAAATCTAGTATATATTTACAATACTTGAAAGTGCTAGACCATATGATGATCCAGTTTTAACTACATGCATCGCATACCAACAATAGCCGTCAAGCTTTATCCTAAATATTTTGGTGAAGCAATCAATTTTTATTTTGCAATCATGATATTGTTTTCAAATATAATTGAGAGGGATCAAAGATCTAACGGGTTTAATTAAAAGTTCTACATATAAGTTCTTCTCCATCCATCAAAGAAGTCACCAACAAACAAGGGATCTATACAAAGAAATCTGTGCTGAAAATTTATTTTGCAACCGGAAACCTTTTTCTTCCAAACAAAAGAGTCTTCCCAATAAGCACAGAGTAAACTCCCAATTAGAGAACAGTGAAAATAAAACATTTAGGCCCTCTTACTAGAACTTTCAATTCTTCCAGTGTGATATTTCTGTGTTGGAACTCCCACATTTTTGGGAGGCTAATTTGGAATATATTGGACATGTGAAATTGAAAACTGAAACCTTCTTAAGAGAACTTTTCATGATTTGTTAGTTTTAGCTTATTTCCTCACTACTCTAGCTAAATTACATGTGCATAATTCACGTGAGAGATAGAAACTGTGTATTTTGAAGGAAATCAAATCACAGTCTATAGTCTACAGAATATGGCAAGAAAAACCCAAGTGTTATCGAAAAGATTTAAGCAAAAAAACATTTGATTCTTGTATCTCTCCAATGTTGATTACTCTCCTCCTTTCCCCTTAAAGTTGACTTCCTAGAGTATTTGATCAAAAACTCTTTTCTACTATTACATGATACAAGATAACTATTATCACCTTCATTGTAATCCATTAAAATAAAATACTTGAAAATTTCTTCTTATTATAAAATCCCGTGTAAGTGAGATCAAAGTTCAGGGGAGTAATTAATGGCAGTTCTCATTAATTAATACTTTATATACTTCCCAAATGAATAATCAACCAACCCCCCACCCCCAAAACAAAAAAAGGTTAAAATACCAATTTAACCTTAAAGTGACGCTAATTAAGAATTTACCAGTTTAGCCTAAAAAGTGATGTCGGTAACAGTTTAGCCTAGAAATTAACAAGTACGATGATAAATAAGTATTTCTGGTGCCAAAATAATTTTTAAGCGAAATATTGAGTATTCTTTACATATAGACCCCTCAATCTCCCACATTTTCGAATAATTCCTTAATGTTCTAAAATATGTAAAAACTCCTTTCTTCCTCCCCGCCCCAAAAAATAAATAAATAAATAAATAAAATAAATAAAATAAAATAAAAACCGTCTGCTCTATTTTTTTCTCATCCCGATCCTCAACCTCNCTTTCTATTACTTCCTCCTTACCCTTTTTCTCCAAGCTTGTCTCTTCTTAATTTCTTTAGTTTCTCTCTGTTCTTTGCCCTCTTTCTCCTCCTTTCTCTCTTTCTCTAACCCCTTTTCCATCACTCTCCCAACGCTTCAAGTAGAATGTTTGATGTTGGATCTGAAAAAGAAAGAAAAGGAGATTGAGTTTTTAATGATTGAAGGGTTAAGAGGGAGTGGGTAGAGCAAGGAAGGAGAGGGAGTGGGAGAGGCAAAGAGGAGAATGTTGGCTTTCTATTGAATGCTCAATTTGGGTTTGGGAGAGGAAGAGCAGGTTGAAGGGAGAAGAGCAGGTTGGAGGGAGTGAATTTTTTTTATATGATTGGACGGTGAAAAGAAAATGGGTGGA